ACTCAGATATATAAATAGTGGTAAAATATATGATAGGACAAATAACAACACATAATGTCACGACAAAATTCTAACTGTGTAAAAGAAATACTCGAGATTCATCGTTTGGTTTTTTTGCTGTAAAACAGGTAATGATTCTATTTCTTTATATTCCGACTAGAAGATTTTAATATATACAATTTTATTTAGAATCTGGAAATTCTTGTTCTACACTTTTCTTGATATGACAATTGACGGTGTAACATTACTGTATGAAGCAGCTTCACATATAAAAGAACATGTTTATTTAATTACAACTCTCGACTGTTGAATTTAATGTCAACTAGATGTAACTCTGCGTTTTAAGAATATTATTGAATTACTGAAGATGGCCAGATTGTGGCCGAAACGTTTAATATTTTAATTAATGTAATAATAATTAAATATCACAAACTATAACTTGTGCTGTGGTTTTTTATGCTCTTATTTTTTATATGTGTTAATAGATCAAAAGCTCAAACGTTTCATTCAAGATGCTAACAAAACTGTTTATATCTCAGAAATTGATGGAGCTTTCGACCTATGTTCACTAAAGTTTTTTTACTCCCAAAGTATGGTGTACTATCCATTATATAAATGTTGAATATTTTTTTTAACACCCTATATACCTAATAACATAAGTTACATTGATGCTTTATCAATAGAAGCTTGATCAATCATAAAGGTATCTTTTTAACCAAAATCAATACAATAAATTCCTTATAAAAACAATTTAAATAACTTACTAAATCATGATTACAATTAAACAATAAATGAAATCGTATTCAGTATCCAAAAAATTATTAAAAACCGATTACCTTTGTTCTTATTCTTTTTTTTTGATTAAATAGTCTCCCGGGCATTGTTGAAACGAGTATTTTGTCTTTGGAACATTTTCCGAGAGATTTTGGATGACGACACTGAAGGCTGACAATCCGACACGGCAAAAAAGATACGATATGCCATTGATATGATGACAATTATAGAAATTATAAATCATTGGAATCAACGAAGAACGCGAAACCAGACATATCTCTGCACATATCAATGGCACCTCGAAAGCTACACCGTGACAATTTTCACGCAGCTATTTTCATTTCATTATCCCCCAGTTCCCCCTTTCTCTCTCTAAACATTCTTACTTCTTTTCCCTCCCCTGTCTCCCGCACCTCTCAACTTATTGTGCACTACTTCAGAAACAACTCATATTCTTAACTATCATTTTCAACACGCGAATTGAAAGACCATCCCTTTTCTGTCTTTACAAATGTATCCAATTGACTTTATCTCGATTACGATATTCAATATTTTTCCCTTTTTATTCTCTTTTATTTTTTTCACTCCAGGCCAAAACATACGCATGTCGCTTTATTAGATGTCGAGTCAACTCTCATTAATTTGGAGTCTGGATGTTGCGACTGACAGCTGCATACGTTCCGCGTCAAACCGAATAAATAATGTGCAATAATGCTGTTCCTAACAGGGCACATTATTTAAAATTATTACTATCTTTATTATTATTATCTTTCTTTAATACAAGAACTCAAAGAAGAATATATCATGTAAATGTTTTAAATTAAATTCAAATAATATATATATATATATATATTAGGTGTTGGAATTAATTCGTAGCGTTTTTAAATGAAAGAATGTTATTTATTTCACATGAGCATTAAAAAATACATTAATGAAAGTACTTCCCATCACTTGTAAAACGCTACGAATTAATTCCAACACCTAATATATATATATACAAATAATATATGTACAAATTAATAAAAGAAAAATATCTTTGGAGTGATTTGTGCATTGTATTTATAAATATTTATAATTACACAATACATTTATTATGTATTATGCATATAGTATTATTATTTTATTATACATAACATTTTATTATGCACTGTAATTATCCAAATGTATTTTTATTACATCATTTTAATTAATTCACATAGAATACTATTTTTTCCGTACATCAGATACGAACAAAAATAATTTCAAACTGATTGCTGAATATTTGTATAGCAGAGAAGTATAATTCACGAATTGGGCATGGCGCATTAATGTCCAATCATCAACAATTTGTGTATTGCGGAAATACAGACTGATGGAAATGGTAATTAATTCCAAGCCACTCTCGTCAGCAAATAGAAAGAAATGAAAAATTGTACTCCACAATAAGGTCAAATGAGGGTAAGCATTTATTGCTAGGCACTTATTTTAAACGTCGCCAACGATAGTGTTCTTCTACAGGATACTTTGCTCTTAATTCATTATGAATGTTAGGAAATTTTATGTCATTCGCTTTTATCCCCCTCTCACTGCGAGTTCTCGAAGATTTCAATTTAAAAAAACCGAGAGCTCAAACAAGTTTCGTAGACAATCACAATTAATAGATGATTAAGTAGCATTTCTCAATTCCTATCAACTCCTATACTAATTTGTGAAATGTCTTATGCAAGAATTTAGCACAAAAAGATTTAATTAAATTTAAAATATCATAAAAATAACGTGTCAACAAATTATATAGGGTGTCCTAACTGTAATCACGATTTTTCCTGCATTTCCGATGATCTGACAAAAATTATTTTGAATAAAAGTTAATCAATCTCACAATCGACTACAAATTACAATATTTATATAATTAAAAATTTGCAAAATATTCTTTTTGAAAAGAAGGTCAAGGTCATCCTAATTTTTATAAATATATATTTTTTACTTCATAGTATTGTAACTGATATCAAGACGAGTTCAGTAACCTGCTATGACCTTGAGATGATCTTATAGACGTATAGGATTAATGAACAGGAACGTTTTCCTGAAAAATTATATTATTTGTATTAAATTTTAAATGCATATTCATACATTTTACAATAGAAAAAGTCATGACAGCATTTGAGTTATGCTACAAGTACCACGATTTATATATATACATATATATATATATATATATATATATGTTAACATTTTTTCTATGTACATATTAAATAATATAATCCTATGGTGCCTTGCACGATTTATAACTAATATCATTCCTGAATTCGATCGTTCTATGTCTCCGCGCAGTCCAAATGAAACAAAAGGAGCAAGGATGACGATAAGCAAAATCAATCGAAATGTGCAACTTGGCTCAATTGCGGGATTCTTTAAACGTTTTATCGACAATCTTTAAACGTCTTATCGATGATAGTCGCTATCGTTAACTAGCGACAACCAATAAGAGTCGCGCTTTCTTCCAGGATTGTCCTGTCATTAACTATCGCTAATTAACGATAGCGACAATCATCGATAAGACATTTAAAAAATCCCGCTACAGGCCTGCTTTATGCCATTATAGGACTTTGAAACATATTGCATATCTGTTCACTGTTTACAGAGTTTTATTATTATTGTTAATACAGGGTGGGCCATCTATTGGTACGTTTTTGAATTTCGTCGTATGGCAACACCGAACGAGCTACAGACCCGAAATTTTGACAGTTTATTAGTCATACCGTCCGCGGCACGAAACAACATGTTTTCTCTTGAAGAGCGTTTTGAAATTTTAAAAACTTATTTTCAAAGTCAGTGCTGTGTCGCCGAAACTGTACGAATTTTGAAAAGAAATATGGGTCGTGATAGAGCACCCACCGAAGGAGCTATACGCAAATTGGTGAGGAAAGTTCGTGAGAAAGGGATGTTAGTGGATGACATTATATTACGACTGTTTTGAGTGAAATTGGCGCCGAGGTAGTCCAAAATGTCATTAATAATTGGGGTGACCGAATGGCATACTGTAAGGCCAGTAGAGGGAGCCACATGAACGAGAAAGGAAGGGTATTGCAAGCCTTTCCGAACGGGTGAACCAGAATCCCCGGAACACAAGAAATAGTAAATTACCGATTACTCGTTCACAGCAATCCAGAACCATATAGTGTGTTCCTGTCAAAAAGTAATGACATAACACTGCGAATGCCCTCAGATTTTCTAAGAACTTATTGACTTGCTCTCGTACATATAAATATGTTTTTAAATATATTTTAAGTGTTACTTTTGATTTTCTAACTTCTAAATATTAATAATAACCATAAAACTCGATAAATAGTGAATTATATATTGGGGCAATATATTGGGTGTGGAAAAAAGTTTGTAGCGTTTTTCCCACTAGATGGCATTAAATGCTCAGCAATCGGTAACTACTAATCGCATCGACAACACTAGATGTGCGTTTAAAAAATGACATTTCAACTTTTGAGCCGAAAAAGATTGAAATCGGTGAAGTGGATCAAAAGTTATTTTATTTTGAATGGAAATAAATAAGGAAAAAAATTCGCTACATTTTGCAATATTACTACAATAAAAGCAAGAACGCTGCACAGGCTTGTGAAAAAATTTGTGCTATTTATGGTGAAGATACTCTATTAAAATCAGCAGCACAGAAATGATTCGCTCGTTTTCGTACTGGAAATTTTGATGTGAAAGATGTACCTCGCTTCGGTCGATCAATCGACCGGAACCGAAAAGTCCGATGAAATCATGGAAAAAGTCGAGCGTGATAAGCATGTGAGCACTGTGAAGATTGCCAAGGAACTAGGCATAGACACAAAACAGTTTTAAATCATTTACACAAAGCTGGATACAAAAAGAAATTCGATGTTTGGGTTCCTCACGAGTTGAGTATTAAGAACATGATGGACCGAATTAACATTTGCGATACGCAACGGAATGAAATTGAGCCAATTCTGAAGAGAATGATGACTGCTGATGAAAAATGGATCACGTACGACAATCGAACTCGCAAAAGATCGTGGATAAAGGAAGGAGAGAAGGCACAAGCAATCGCAAAACCTATTATATTGACGATGAAGAAGGTGATGTTGTGTGTGTGGAGGAATTGGAAAGGAATTCACTATGAGCTATTATCGCCCGATCAAACAATTAATTCCGAACTTTACTGTGAACAACTGGAGAGATTACAACAAACAATTGAGAGGAAGCGGCCAGAATTAATCAATAGGGGTGTCGTCTTCTATCACGAAAATGCTCGACCACACATCTTTGATAACGGCAAAAATTACGAGAGCTTGGCTGGGAAGTCTTAATGCATCCATCGTATAGTCCTGACATAGCACCCTCAGACTATCATTTATTTAGGTCTCTGCAGAATTCTCTCAATGGTATAAAGCTGGCTTCAAAAGAAGCCTGTGAAAATCACTTGAAGCAGTTTTTCGACCAGAAACCACAGAAGTTCTATTGCGATGAGATTATGGCTCTGCCCTAAAAATGACAAAATATTATTAAAAATAATGGAGCATATTTGGTTTAAATAAATTGATTTTAATACTCTAAGAAAAACACTTGAATTTTACTAAAAAACCGCCACGAATTTTTTCCCATACAATATTTCAAAGTCCTATAGTTCTACAGTGCCCTATGAAACGAAAGTATGATTTACTAATACCGTCCCTGAACTCGATCGCTTTATTTATCTTCGCACGCAGTTTAAATGCTATGAAACAAAAGGAGTAAGGATGACGGTAGATAAAAATTGATTGAAACGTGCAACTCGACTCCAATAGCAGGATTCTCCTAACGTCTTATCGATAATTATCACTATCATTAACTGGTGACAGCCAATAGTGGAACAATCCTGGAAGAAAACACGACACTCATTGGCTGCCGCTAGTTAACAACAGTGACATTTGTCGATAAAACGTTTAGAGAATCCCGCAATAGGTCTATTATAAAAAATTATATCATTTTATTCCACAAAAAGTATTCGTACATCTTTCTTAATTTTGATAATATTACAATTTAATATCTTTAAGACTATCATTAGCATATATTAAATCATATATAATCATAATCACTAAATCAATGTGAATCAAACTGAAGACTACTTACATAGACGATTAACCTAGTTTTCATTTCATTGATTGCTACAAATTTTGCATGATAATTGGTGAAATAAATTTCCATTCTTTTCAAAGAGCAATTTTTAAATATTTAAGTCTTCTCAATTGGAAAATAATATATTTTAATTATTATATCTTTTTAAGAAATCCGTAATTTATTCCATTCGTCATTAAATTCCTAATAAACATTCACTTTCGCTAAAAATAAAGTTTTTTAAAAAAAATTTTTACAAATATCTTTTCCATTCACTATGTATTATAGTTATTAATTATTTATTTACGTATGTATCGAGCAATCTGTTGACATGTAAGCTGTCTTCCTGTCTTCAATCCGTCGATTCTCGAATGTTGAAGCCAATAACATTGTGGCATAATAATGTTATCCGAACTTGATGGAAATTACGACTTCGAATGCATTTTGACATTTATTAATTTGCGACATGTAAACGTACAACCAATACCATCATAACGGTAGAACAATTGTCACTTGAGCTATGGGAAATTTTGATTCAGAATGAGTGCTGAGTTTAATTGTTTGCGACAGGTTCTTATGCATCTAACGACGTAATACGAAAAAAGATAAGAATAGATTTAATTAAGTTAATGTATCCACTGAAGATGGTTCCGTTGAATCGAAACATCTAGAAGAACTTGTGATTGTAATAATATATTCTCTTGCATTATTCTCATGTTTGACTCATCATAAAATTTAGTCCTTATACTAAATTTTATTGAATTTTTCAATTTGAGCTTTAAAGTTTGTTAATTTTAATTTAATTACACATTTAATTATATGTATTTAATTACTATTAATTACTATTTATTATATTTTATGTTATTACCATTATGTATTTTATTATCATTAAATTAACTTTTTATTATTATGTACTATTATTATTATATATTACAGCTTAAAAAATTAATTTTGAAAAATGAATTATCCCGAATTTGAAAAGAGATTATAGATAATTGTTAGACCAACTTTTAAGTATAGAGTGGTCTATACTAAAATTTTCGCAAAATCGCGACGTGAACGGATTAAACAATCTCCATGTTTGCACAAATTTACGAGCACAGACGGCTCAAAGAGGACTGACTGCATAATAAATGCGCCATGATCGAGTCGGAGATAAATGAAATAGTACGCACAACTTGTATGAGTGAATGTCTATATACAGAGTACCTAGCTTTTACAAAATCCTCATTCCAGATTTAAACTTGTCTATACACGCTTTTAAATCGCAATTAAGCATGCAAGTGTTCGGTCGTGTATTTTTTTTGTTTGATCTCAGCTTTGAATACACATTGCGGAGAAGAGTCTATCTTCTGCGAGATAGAATAGTTACAAATAGTTAGATTACACTTTAAAAAATTGAATATTTCATAAGCATAGTTAATAAACGAAATTCATAACGGAAATTTTCTTATCTATACTTTTTTTCTTTAGAGAAAGAGAAGAAAAAGAGTAAGAAAAAGAAATGTACGCACACTCAACTAAATTATTGCAACTTAAACACATATCAAAATTTTATACTTTCAAATAAGTATAATTCCGTGAAAAATGATCGTATTTAAAAGTTTTTTTCATTTTCAAGGGTGAAGTTTGTACTTTAACTATAGCAATCAAAGTCTTAAACGGTCTAGCTGGATGCTTCTATGATTCTGTGTGAACTTATATACTACGTATGTAATCCTTTTTGAAATTAATAAATAATTAATTCTTATTGCGAAAAATATTACCTCGGCCGGGAGTCGAACTCGGATCTCTTGCATTCCGTGCGAGCGTCCTAAACCTTTAGACTGCCTTGGGCAGTAATAATCTAAAGGTTATTATAGCCGCAACATAAACTCTTGCATAACGCATAATGCGTACATAAAGGAATCAACCAATCGAAATTCTTCTTTTCCATGAAATGGGAGGAAAGGAAAGATTCTGATTAGTTGATTGGCTTATTCACTATTGCGTTATGCAAAAGTCTGTGCTGCAGCCCTTAGGACGCTCGCACGAAATGCAAGAGATCCGAGTTCGACTCCCGTTCATCATTTGTCCTTGTTTTAATGTTAAGCATCCGAGCGACATTTCCGAACGAAGCCAATATTAGAACATAATTAGCATATAATTAGAATATTAACATAATATATAATAAAATATATGAAAATGTAATATTAGAAGTTATATGTATTTGGAATATATAAAATATTTGGAACATGTAAAGTATTTAATATAAGATGTATTTTATGAATTCTTCAATTATTAGTCATGTAGATAACAGTCTATTATATTTATCAATAAAAATATATTATACAAGATATCTCAAAATTAATGATAAATATTTTAAAAACAAATTCTTTATAATATTTTAAAATGAAAAATCAAATGCAAAAATGCCGAGGCTAAGATCGTTTTCAAATAGAGAAAGTTTAAATATTTTGAATGACAGCTACAATTTCGCGCGTTCAGGGTAAGTAAAATGGTCAGTGTAAAAGTGCTTCCACGAACTTCATACTTTTGACAATGAAATTCAGCACTTTCACACTGATCATCTCGCCATTCCTGATCATGTTCTAATCCTGTCATTTGTAATGTTTAAACTTTTATAATTTGGAAACTATTACATCCTTGGCATTTTCGTATCAAACTTTTCGGTTTAAAATATTACAAAGGGCGGTATTCATAGTCTTAAGTATTATAATATCTTAGATGCTAATGCAGTCCTCTGATTAGCTGATGACATCTCAAAACTGTACTTAAGACAGTCTCAAATATAAGAATCGACTGTGAATACCGACCAAAGAATCTATTTTTAAGATATTTATCGTCAGTTTTGGGAAATTATGCATAATAGTAAATTCCTATATATTCCAAAGAATAAATATATCATATAAATGCAGTAACATACAATAATCACAAAAATAAAAATAATTTGAAATTATGCTGCATTAGTTTTTAAACATTTTATAGTAATCTATAATCTGTTTTTTTATCATAACGTAACCATTACAAAAACTAAAAAACATTTCATACTAATAGATCATAGAAACATTTATTTTTTTATTATACGTTATTTTTTTGTGTTTCTATGTATTTGTTGAATAATTCTAAAAACTCCTTTACATTTTTATATTTTCTTTATGATGTACTCCTGTCTTTGTTTGTGAAGCATTTTACCCCATCGCTCGGCGTTGTCTACTATTACGTATTTTGTTATAAGAAATATTGATGGATGCAGAGTTATTTTCGTCAATAGGATCTTCACTGTGATCTGTAGATGGACTTAATTGTCTTATCCTAAATCCATGTGAACTAGACGCAATTGATGCAGATGCTATTTCGGGTTTGACGTTAATGAAATCATCAATCATATCAAAATATTCCCAGCATTCTTTAACTCTACCAGTTTGATTATTACGATCTCGTATACTTCTATATTTTTGCTTCAAATTCTTCCATTTAACATTACATTGTTCCTCGGTTATATAATATCCTCTTTCATTAAACTTATTTGCTATCATTACTTTTTTTTGCATATAATTCTTCTTATCTAATAATGACATATGACTTCTATTAAAAAAACTTCTTCTATTTAAAATTTTGTAGTTTCAACAATCCATTGAAATTTACAGTTTTCTGTAAAAAAAAATAAAATAATGTAATAATGTGCATATTACGCTATATATATTGAGAAAAACCTATTTTTGCAAAATACTATATTATGAGTGCTTTCCATTTGATGACATAAATAAGTCAACATAAGCATCGTTTTATCCTTCTTGACGTTCAAAGAGTGACAAAGATAGAACGACGCTAATTGTGTCGACCTGTGTCATTAAGTGGAAAGCACCTTATTTTATAAAAAAAATGTAATAAAAGTTTGGAATGATTATTTGATTAATAAAATTGGAAGTAAAATAATATCTTTATTAGAAGGAAATTTTTGTAACAAAAGAAAATGAGGAAATAGATGTAATTAAATGCTGAAGTGTACCTCAGAAATGTTTCGAAATACTTGAAAGTAAAAATGCGTTATAATAAATGCTGACTATTGAATATTGATAATATTAGCGTCACGATGAACTATTGAACTAATAATTCCATAAGTAATCATTAGGATTTGCTATATAATAGTCGAGATATTAAGGAAGGCCACAATATATACACTGACAATAATACCATTTTCTCCTCTATATTAATAAGCTAGCTAGATCATTATATAAATCACTATATAAATAAGAAAAATTCAATACGATAGAAACTTATAGATCATAGTACTTAATAATACTCATTATGTAGAGTTTATAATAGAAGTCGTAGACAGTCATTAAGGACAGTCATAATACAGGATTAAGTTATAGGAAATTGATTACAATTAAATAGGATCAGAATAATGACTGATCAATTTCTTATGACTTAAAATTAATATTTCTTTCAATTGTCTATGACTCTTATTCTAGACCCCGCATTATAATGACTAAGTATGATATATCCAGTTATATCGAAACAAAGAATTTTAAGATACTTATGACAAGGTAAATAATAATTAAAATTATTATTTTATGTACATAATAGATAATAATAATAATAACGATAATATTATAATTTTCAATCTTATAACATACATATCAAATTGATTTTGTTCAATTGAATTCTCTTTATTTATTAAATCTATTGAAGTTCTATTTATCCTAAAATTAAATAAATAATATTATTAAAAGTATATTATTTCGTAAATGAAAACACAGAGTAAATACAGTCGACCTTCTCCGGACAATTACAAATCCAGCAACAGCAGAGAAAAGTTATAACAAATGTCGAAACCTTAACCTTTCAGAAGCGTATAGCGTATGCAAAACATTCGCGACGACAGCAATCCAAAATCGGAGTTCATAGACGGGTCATCTAAAAAATATCCGCGGTACTTTGTCACTAGATATGTGACTCAATGGATAAGTCAGATTCTCTTGACAAGCCCACGCTTGTCGTGTGATAAAGAAAATAATAATTGAGACTTTATTTGTAACTGGTAATAATAATATTTATTTCACGAGCACAATTTTATATGACCGTACAGGACGAACACCTTTATTGATCTGTTATTATAATTTTTCTTTTTTTATTATTTTTACGCTGCTAGGCGTTACTAACATAATCTTTAAGCTTTCTACACTCGCTGCGCTAGTGAGGTATTAAGAATTCCCCACATACTCCCGCCCGAGTGACAACGAATCCGGCACTTAGGTCTACCTTATAAAATATATACAACGTGTCATATAGAATATCTTAAAAGTGTCTGAGAAAAATTAATTACATTTTTGGAAGATTTATAAGGCGAAAGTCACCCTTCCTCTTTGGGCGCGCATACGTTCTCAAAGTTGGTCGCTCGTTGCTAGACGAATTAGCTGCTTGCCCTGTTTCTAGAATCGCACTACACAAATCATCGCGTATGTCATACGCTGGCTTCAAATTCTCGACTGACACACTGCGCTGTGCACCATTAACTTCAATATCGAAAACTCGATCCGAAACACGATTTATAACCTTGTGAGGGCCGGTGTAAGGACGCTCTAATGCTCTCTTGGTACCGCCCACCCGTAGAAAAACATGGGAACAAGAATATAAATTTTTAAATACGAATGCGCGTTTCTTGTGCTTATGCTCTATTGAGATTGGCTTAACTTTGTACATATGCTCGCGAAATTCCTTTATGAAAATTTGCGGACTAGGAGTGAAGTCATCCGGCAGTATAAATTCTCCGGGGACACGCAGTGTCATTCCATAGACAAATTCCGAAGGCGATGCGCCGGTGTCAAGGTGGACATGAGTACGCAGACCTAATAATACGGTCGAAAGTACTCGTGATCAACCTTCATTAGCATGACACATAATAGCAGCTTTTAAGCTTCTATGCCACCGCTC